ACTTTAATAACGTAGACGTCTTGGTTCTTTCATTGTAGGATCCTCAACTACAATGCCATACGGTCGGTGGATGGGTGGGCATTCAACGGCTCGGAAATTGCTAAATTGTGAGTACAAATCAGACGTCGCATTCCCTCATATGACAACTTCGCCACGATCGGTGGTAAACTACGATATTACTTGCTGCTTGCGGCATATTCTGTGAAGTTGTATGCATTTCAATCATCCGAATTTTAATATAACGTTATTACATTTCGTATAAAAGCTTTACAGATTAACGTTCTTGCAAAGTTTGATTAATTTTACCTCGCGGCTGTAAGTACCTAACTATTTAGTTTAAAGGAAATGTTCAGAGAAAACTCAGTACAAAATAAATGTATTAAAATATGAATTTTTTGCTGTAGCAGACATTTAAGAAAAAAAATATCAGCACAGTCTGTTGGAAAAAATCTGATTAGGTCTCATTGCTATTATTGTATTTTTTAAAAATTGTCAAAAGTGTATAGGATAAGATCCAATTTCAGGCTTTTTGAACACGGTAATGGACCTTTCTGTGATTTTCCTTGATTACCTGTGGAACTGGGAAGTTACATATATATTATAATAATAGAATGAAAAAAGATTACGTATAATGACTTTAAGGTAATTGAGTTTTCTGTCAAAATATTTAACATATTAAGTACATTCCTCTGTACATGATTGGTTAGTGTATTTAAAATAGATCTAACTACAATTTATATTACCGAATACCAACATGTTAAACGAACCTAACCTAACCTAACCTAACCTAACCTTGAAACGTAAACTTTCATTGTTATCATTTCCTGCACACCAGATGTTATATTGTAATCCCATTACGATGTTTTCAAGGCGTCGTTTGTGGTTTCAAAATGCCCCCCGCAGTGACGAACTATTCGTTCCTGTTGAGGAGCTCTATGTTGTTGATGACGTGTTCATAAATCTGCGATATAAGATTTTGACTGACAGAACGCCGTATCAAAAGCAGACACTGAAATGCAAATCAGAAGTTGCACTATGTAAAAAAAAAAGTAGTAAACGATCATATGAACGAGCTTCAGCAAGGCAATATTTGTATCTGTTTATATCTTTTCAGGAGTCTTAAAGGAAATCGAGACTTAAGTATACTTTCCAGTGAAGCATTTCACGGCCTGAAAAGTCTTATAGACCTGTACGTATCTTGCACAAGTTGCTTATTTGTTTGCTGTTTATTTAACGATGATGTCAGTAGATCAGACTAAAAAAAATCATATTGACATAGAAAATCATGATTAATAAACGTATCGTCTAGTCTAGGCAAGTATATTGAAGTAACTGAAGAAAAATGTACCGTAACTAGGTTCATTTCCCGCAGGGACCTCTCAGAAACTGCAATCACTCGTTTGCCAACCGGAGGACTGGAGGGTCTTGATGTCCTTAGGATACAGGACACAGAGTCCCTCAAAGTCATCCCGTCTGTCTACACCTTCAAGGTCAGTATCAGTTGCCGCAAACCCGACGTAGTTATCGGGTGATTCTCGAGATTAAAATATAATAATAACAGTAAGAAAATTGATTAAAAGGGGGACAAGGTAGCCACGCGCTTTTAAAACTTCGTTTCTGCTTGTGGAATCTGCCACAAGCAGTCGCTCTGGTTGCTTGAAGTCATCGCAGGGACCTTAACCTCATCTACAGTGGCTTGAGGCACAACAGATTTTGTTAAAGTATTGGTAGAAAATGAGGACAGAGTGTTCTTGACATATGGCAGCTTCCCCCTAAAGTTTGTTTTCTGCCTCATATTATTTTGAATCAGAAATATTAGAAGTTTTTCCTCACTAGATTAAGAAAGTTGGCTGTTTCACCATCTGGACCACACAGATGACTGAAGTTTTAACTTATTAAATATTGTTGGGGGGGGGGGGGGAAAAAGAAATATTTTCTGCTTCGATTTCTGGAGACGTCGCCCAGCAGAACGGATGTCGTGTTGTGCACGTATGATGGTTCTGTGTACTCGGTTTGCTTAGACGAATTTCTGACAGAGTCACAGAACAGTCCACTTCGCATATCTTGACGAATTTTTCATTACCATTTATCAAACGGATGGATTTAAAAGCATGTCGAAACGATGATGCCGTAAGACAGTCAGTTCTCATTTCGACATACAAAATAATATTTTGCTGATGAAAATTTAGTGGAAACAATGAGGTCAAATTAAGCGATCCGGAAATTTCAATTCGATTCATATCCAGCCATTTGCATTTTATACCTGTGAAATTGCCTAAATATTTTTATTTAAAAATTTGTATGGGGGAGGTGAACACTGCAAGTTGTCGGCCGAATTCGTCTTTAGTTCGTAAAGGTTTAGAATAAAATAGTTAGTTACAAATAACACGAAAAATTTGTCTACCTACACCTACAGATGTTATCAGGCTCTAAATGAGATAAATAATCTTGAAATAAAACTGTCTTTGCTAAGTTATATTATCACTTGACACCAGGGTCTCCCATTTGTAACAAAGACAGTCCATGCATTTGTAGTCTCATGAAAATTTGGTTTATAAGTTTCCATGGAATCGTGCAAATTAAATTTTTAAACAGTTCTCACATGGACGAGTATGAAGATGGCTCTCTTTCGGGATGTAGCATCCTGTAGTCTGGCAGATATTGACCGATGTTTCAGATGAACTTATTTCATCCGTCATCATTACCCTGATGATGGAGGCAGTAGACGTCTATGAAACATCGCTCAGTATCTGTCGGACCACGCGGTGAAACATCCCAGAAGACAGCCATGTTCAGTGGACAGAGTTTTAGATTTCATTAACTAGTGAATATTTTCTTAATTTCTCTCGATTTGTGATTTGTTGTAGCATCTGAAGGAGGCCTGGCTCACGTATTCATTTCACTGCTGTGCATTCAAGTTTCCTGCACGTCATGATCCCACCAGACATGCGCTGCACCAGGTCAGTGCATGTTCTAAGTTGGCGTCGATGTTCAACTTCTCAACACAGCATAATTTAGAACGCTGGCCTTGTAATCCTGGGGTCTCGGGTTCGATTCCCGGCGGTGCCCGAATTTATAACTTGTGTTGGGCAAGGCCGTGGTCTAGACAACACGGAGTTTTCCTCCGGGGGCTTCCCCGGTTTCTCCGTGGCATCCCAACAATTACTCCATTCACACACAGAAGAAGGCAATGGCAAACCACTTCTGGATCATCTGCCAAGAACGTATATGAACAGGTCCCAGTCCGAGAAAAGGATGGAAGGATCCTGTTCATATGGACCTGTCGTCAGACAGAACACTACAAATGAAAAAAAAAAAAGTTTAACGATGTTTGAAAGTTGGTTCCAAGTACCGATGTTGCAACGTCATGTATACTTGTAGGAAGATATCAACGTTTCGGAGTAATATACTGCCTCTATCTTCAGAGCTGATGCCTTGAAAAGAACCACTTAGTGCAGCACTCTGAAATTTTGTGTGGAAGTAGACTTTCAAAAAATTATGCATTTTTGTTAGAAGTTCACGGACGTTTCAGAGGTCCTATTTTTTTGCGTAAGGACTGATGATGACGTCTCTTCATTTATTGACAGTGAACAGATTCAAGTGTTTTTGTTACAGGCTTATCTCGCTAAGGTGCGTGAAAAATGTCCCAAAGACTACGACGAAACAAGACAACGAAATAAGCGGTCCACGACACACACCGTGTGGATTGGCGCAGTTCCCGACTTAATCTCCTCTTCACCTGACTACGTTCCAACTCTGTCGTACAGCGACTTATGGGATCCTACTTATGAGGACGGCCGTAGCTTCGGGCCGATATCAGCGGAAGGCTACCAACCCCTGGTGGACGGTGGGGTCCAGTCCGACCAGGACCCTCCAGACGGCGAGCACTGGCATAGCAACGCGGAGCCAATAAAGTTGAATGCTGGAAATGACGGTCCAACCCTCGACCACGGAACTTTTCATCAGACCACAGCAGACGTGGCAAGGAAGTTACAAGCGATATGCGGGAACCTCTCCACCAGGTAATTTCTATGGTAATCATTCCCCCACCCCCCACGACCGTCGCTCTCCATAAAAAAATCTTATTATTTATTGTCGTGGTCCACGTCAAAGATGAAATAACGCTTAAAAATCAATGTATAATCAGGGCTTATATTCCTTACATACAAACACACATGAAATTAACGTAGATTAACGTCATGATGGTGGCAGTACAACTGCGAAACATCGATGCGTGACGTAATAACCCGGAAGGCTGTCGTCTTGATCGTCCTTAATCCTCCGGTTATGCACCTGAGTATCCCTTTTATTTTTCTAGTTCGATACACGTGAAGTGTTCGCCTGAGCCGAACGCGCTGAACCCCTGCGAGGATATCATGGGCTTCACGTGGTTGCGTGTCAGCGTGTGGTTTGTCGTGGTAACGGCCGTCGTGGGTAACCTGGCCGTGCTTCTCGTGTTGCTTAGCAACGTGTTCGATCTCACAGTGCCCAAATTCCTCATGTGCCATCTCGCCTTTGCTGATCTCTGTATGGGAGCTTACTTGCTGATACTAGCTGTCATGGACGTCCACTCCAGCGGCGTCTATTTCAATTTCGCCTACGGCTGGCAGATCGGTAAGTGTGCTCACTGTTTTTGCACTCGTATCATCTCCCTTCTCCTCTTACGTACATCAACATTCTTCCACGTAATCTACCTTCATTGTTTTATAAGAAAGTATGTGTGTCTGTACCCGTGAACCCAGGTACGAGATTTCATTACACTTTATGCCCTTAAATGTTACCTAACCTTCCTACATTTCCGTTTCATTATTATTATTTATTTTATTTAGTGTTCTGTCTGACGACAGGTCCATATGAACAGGATCCTTCCATCCTTTTCTCGGACTGGGACCTGTTCATATACGTTCTTGGCAGATGATCCAGAAGTGCTTTGCCATTGCCTTCTTCTGTGTGTATGGAGTAATGAGTAATTGTTGGGATGCCACGGAGAAAAACTCCGTGTTGCCTAGACCACGGCCTTGCCCAACACAAGTTATAAATTCGGGCACCGCCGGGAATCGAACCCGAGACAACCAGTAATATATTCATGGAGACTGTGCGAACTTCTGACTTGACAGCGACACTAGCGCCACTTACTATACCGTGTTGACATTGTGGACGGTAACAGATTTTCGAAAAAATACGAAACTTTTCTTCGGGGTCATATTTTGTGAATGTAAAGCAACCGACCAAAATTTATATTTAACTTCTTGTCTCCTTTCTTTCTCGCCTTCCTCTGCCTTTAATCTTCAGCATCTCCTTTCAGTGCAGTCCACATTATCGCCTGAATGTGTCTCGCTGTGTTTCCGTATACAGCATCCCATTTTGTCATCACGGTCCATGTCATCTCCACCACATGTTCGTGTTTTTACAGGGGCCGGCTGCCGTGTTGCCGGGTTCCTCACGGTTTTTGCTAGTCAATTGTCCATCTACACATTGTCTATTCTGACTCTGGAGCGATGGTTCGCAATCACTTACGCCATGTACCTGAACAAACGTCTAAGACTACGAACAGCGGCACAGATTATGGCTGGAGGATGGATGTACTCCATCACGATGGCGTCACTCCCTCTATTTGGCATCAGTAGTTATTCTACTACCAGGTAAAGTTGGTAATATTGGCAGGAAAAGGTTACCCAGTTCTAAAATAAACCCATCTGTCCTTTTTAAAATGTACCTATTTCGTATCAAAATATTTACGCGTATTCGAAAATTCCCTGTTTTTTTTCCAGAGATTTTCGTAGTTTATCTTCAGTCTCTCCAGCACAATATTGCGATGTTTTTAAAATGACGCCATTTTAGTTTTCTTCCACGTGCTTTCCAAAACAGTTGATAAAGTGTCGTAAAATTTACCAATGACCGAAATCGGACATGCGTCTGTAAGTAAATTTCTGCTTTATTTTTAAATTTTCAGACACACTTTCGACAGAGTTGTTTAAGAAGCACTTTTTACATTGTTTATCCTACAACTAAGTGTTTGTTTTTTTTACTTGTGGGTAAATTATGATAAAATTGGCAACACTTCTATGTCTGGCTGTACTTAAAACAAGATTCTTCTTTGAGACGCATTCTGTAGAGCGTTTATTTTTTAAAACCAAATTTCCCTCTCAGTTGTGACTAAATTGTTATTGTGTTGGCAGCATCTGTCTGCCAATGGAGACGAGAGATGTGAAGGATGTGGCGTATCTAATCGCCCTGCTGGTGATGAACGGCCTAGCATTTGTGGTGATCTGCATATGCTACGCCCAAATCTACCTGTCGCTGGGTCGCGACACCCGGAGGTGTGGCAGTCCGGGTCGCTCCGGGGCCACCACCACAACCGGCGAGATGACAGTCGCCAAAAAGATGGCGCTCCTCGTCTTCACCGACTTCGCATGTTGGGCGCCCATCGCGTTTTTTGGGCTGACGGCTGTAGCCGGATATCCTCTCATTGACGTCACTCGCTCGAAGATCCTGCTAGTTTTCTTTTACCCCCTCAACTCGTGTGCAAATCCGTATCTGTACGCGATACTTACAGCGCAGTACCGGAAGGATCTCTTCCTGCTCCTTGCCAGGTGACTATAAAGGCGGTCTCAGACATTGCTGGAACAATTTTAACCCAACAATTCTCGCGTAATATCCCTCAGCACTCATTTATATACCACGAAAATTAAACTCAAAAGTAACCAGTCCTATCTTACTTTGCATTATTATTATTCATACTTTAATATTATCTGTTCAGTCATTCTTGAATTGTTATTACAGACAGCGATTTTAATAGAGGCTTCCTAGGGTTTCAAGAAAATCCTAAAAAATGTCCCAACTCAACTATTATAAACCAAACCGTGGCCACCGACTTGTTATTCTGTCGTTTTATTGACTGATGTTTCATGATTAACATCAATAAGCTATTATTTGAGCAGAATTTGTAAATGTTTCATGTAGAAAGTGTTAAATTTTATGCTACGTCAGTAACAAACTTCGTAAGTCAACAAGAATTCTCGAAACGTCGGTAATAAAGCCCATATCTACCTCGTGTTATCGCCCATAAACAGGATTCTGTTTTGTAAAATCCTTGTCACGAGTCTCGTATAAAATCCCAAATAGTCTATAGTCCGTCCTGAAACAATACGTAATTTGTGCCACTTTTATGAATTGTTATAGCATGAAATAATTTTCCAGGAATATGATTTAACTATTCATAACCATAAATATGACAGCTGATGAGTAAATTTATTTTTAGGTTAGGTTCTTTGCAACTGGTAATGAATTGTCCCCATAATCGTCACACGACTGTGTGAATTGTATGAAATAATAAAACTCCTTTTGTGAAATATTACTGACTCCAGAACAGTGGAATGGACGAATTAGTGTCAATAAAATATGCAAAACAGCTTTCAGTTGCCCTCTTTGTCAGTATACGTAATGATTTTCATTGTTGTCGCCGATTACGTACAGAAATATATTTGGAATAAATTTGAATTTAAAATACCGAACATATTTCTCGTTTCCGTTAAAACGAATTTTTAACAATAGAGAGAGAAAAACAAAATGAAAACAAGTAACCGCAAATATTACCACAATATTAAAGACTTTGAACTGCAATTCAAACAGATTTTCTACCAAATAACAAAAGAAATTTTATTATTAAACATCATATGCAAGATATTTATGTAATATTTGAGGTTATGTAGATTTCTGTCTTCTGGGTTGTTGCGCTGTGTAGTCTGGACGATGTTTACCAACGTTTCAGAGGTCATACTGCCTCCGTCATCAGGGCGATCGCCCTAAACGTCGCAACGTCCCAGAAGACAATCTTTTTCAAACTCGTCGCCTTAAGCTGTCATTGTACTATCAGAAACATTGCCCAGTTATTTCTTATTTGCAGGTATGGCTTATGTATGAAGACAGCCCAGCAGTATAAATTGACGTATTCACTAGCGACTACAAACAACTCGAACCAAGTTCCTTTAGTTCAACGGAGCATGATTCTGATTTCCCCGCAGAACCCACAAACCAGTGTGACAAATGCCAACGGCGGTCTACACGCTGAGGCTTTCGTGTGAAGTTAGCAACTAGCGAAGTGGCTAACACTCCAAGCGGTAATTTAGTATACACGTCCACACGTTAAGTTCTCTGCGTATTCAAGGTTTATAATATTCGACGACGTTGTATCAAGGTCGTTTATTATCGACGATATTGTTGATAATACGTGAACAAAGACGAGAAATGGGAAATTAGTCAGAAACTTTTTTTAAAAAAAAAACTTGAAAGAGAAGAAATGGCTCGACCTTAGATCTTATATTTTTTTCAAAGAATATCTGTAGTTACCACGACAACGGATAGGCCCTGTTACTGGCCTATACGTTATACCATTTTGAAGTTTTTATCTACAAGTAAGTTATTTATTGACGTATATTATCAGAGGCTTTGCTGATTCGTGATCTGTTAGATTATCAGTGGGAAGTAAGACGTAGAAAGGGGGGATGTCACAGAAAAGAAATCCATTCGACTACAGAAAGAAAGACATTTATCGATATATCGATATATCGATATGCCACATCTTAACATTTTTTCGCAGGACAGTCACAGGTACCAATGATTCTATCAGGAAATTTGAATTAACTAGGCTGTTTTTAGTTATTGCTTTGTTTTGAAGGGGCAATAACACCGAAAAATATAAAATTATATTTGATTTCCAGAGAGCGCTTTCAGTGTCCCATGAGAGACGGTGTTTTGTTTTTTACATTTACATTCCAGCTTTAATTCCGGGATAGGACATAGCTCAGAGTTATTCGTGTGCGTTGCTTCATTACTTTCTAGTACTAAAAGTCCAAAATTTTTGAAACTGGTACTTCCTGGACCTGCTTTAACCTCGCTGCTGTGAGAACCGGAAATCTCATTGAAAAGGACAGTGTTTCTGAGATACTTTGGTTGTGACACCGTAGGCAGACTTTTGCTTTCTCTGTATCTCGTGTATAAATCTTTTTTTATTGTTCCTGAACAAGGAAAAACGTGTCTCTAGATTAGCTGGCTTTTTATTAGCCTTTATTCAGCCTATGACGGAGAATTTAAACTTGAGAAAGATTTGTATTTTTTAAAACGAGTTATAAATGCCACAAAAGACTAATATTACGATGTCGTATACGTAAAATATTAACTTCAGGTCTGGAGTTTCTCAATATTGTGTATTCTGTCTTATTTTCCTTGCATAAGATGTCAGTTGCTCATCATATCCCAAGGGTTTGTTTGCTCAAAGGTGTACACGGAAGTTTTTCATATATTTTTTTTCTTTATTTTTATATGAATGCACAAATTGCTTACGTCTATCCTGATCGTCATAGTTTTCATACATGTTGTGCAAACCTCCCCTCCCCCCACATTCCCAAAGCTGTGAATATATGACTCAATGTGATTGTAATTTAAGGTACCTGGCTTTTATAAAGCTCAATTTATATTTTTTAGAGTTTATATTATTTTAAATAACCAATCAGTACACTAATGTTCTTCAGAACTTCCCTTTTCCCTTCAAAATCCCAATTTCGGTTAATTTTCTTTGTGTCTACCTCTGTTGTGGATATTCTTGCATAATTATCACCATTAATTAAATCTAAATATTCATAAACAGATGACGTATAGTTTATATCAACGAAAAAAGCACTGAAAATATATTTTTTCATTATTACATTGAAAATAAGCTCTCTTCTAAAAAAAAGACAGAAATTATCCGAATCACGAATGCGATATCTCGTTAAAAAAATATCATTTGCGTTCGACATTACAAAATCTGCAGTCGTCGCTACCATTTAAGTTTTCCAGAAATGGAAATTTTAGTTTTACTGGAAATAGGCGTAGAGTATCTGGCGTGTACATTGAGCAAGGAAATAGAATTTAAACGAGCTTGCCAAACTTGTAGAGTTAATATCGCGTGATGACTCTTTAAATAAAGCGGACTGATAAAATACTATTGATATTAGCTTAAATTAATTTCGTATAACAGACATCAAGTTACACCTATTTTCAGTATAAAATAAATTAATAAATAAGGACATAAGCCTAATTGCTTATTTCTCCAATGACACAATTGATACAACATAGATACAGGACAAAAAAAACACATTTAAGACTGCCTTGTCTTTTGTGGAAAAGATACTGCTATAATTTACAACTACGTACTTCCAAAAAGTAGTCCGTATTTCATTAATTATTGGCTGATCAAAAGACGCGGTGTTATTATGGAATTAGTCAAAAACTAGGTTTTACTTGATGACGAAATGTTGTCAGGAATTTTTATATAACATTTAGAAGAGATGAGGTTAACGTTTTCTGGCATCTTACGCGATGATTCTGCTCAAATTGTTGGTCTTCTGTGATACGCTCCTTTGCTGCACAGTTTGTATGGTCATTCTGAACTTAAAGTACATTTAGCGCACTCTCGTAGCCGCTGAATGAACTACGTGTTATATCCGTAACATGGGTTGAACTTCGTACATTGAAATTGATAACTCACACTTTTCTGTGTTAGCAGGATCACATGGGTCACGCAACTTACATTGTAGTATACTTAGATGTTTGCATCCTAGAAAAAATTCTTTCGCGAACTTAAACAGTATAATGAGAATCATCTTTATTAAAACGTACAACCACTCGCTTGAGAACATGGCTCTTGATTGCGGAAGAAGAAATGCGAGTTCAGGTAAAATTTTAATTTGTGTCTCCCTTTCACTTAGTAGAAACATAATGTGAATCGATAAGGATTTTTTTACGGTTTTCAATTAGCATAACAATACTGTGTTTCCAACCAAATTAATACAATGTCAATAGCTAACTATCTAATTAGATGGCTAACGGAACCCGAAGGTTCATCACCGAATTAACCAAAGCCCTCCACCGGACCAAAAATATCAATAGCTGAATTATAACTAAATTAAAACATGTATAGTTTTAAACGGTTGGAATCATTAGTTCGATTCCCATTTCAGGCCACTTAATGATGGGCTGACCTACACGTCATGAAGAACAGCCAAATGTGTAAAACGAAAAATGAAATAATTGAATATAGAAATAACACTGAATTGGAACAAGCTGAACGGCCTGATCTATAAAAAGCTGTAAGAGAAAGATATGGTATAAGTATTTAATTAATATTCAGCGATTATGGCCATATTGGCCAGGTTTAAGTAAGCATGAAAACCGTGAAGTCACGATGGTGTTGGTAATCCTGAATGTCGTGAAGGTCACGAGCGTGGATGCTGAGTCGGCGATTTAGATAAACATCCAGTAAGGATTCGAGAGAGTTGATTTGATCTGAAAGGACGGTCATGGCTACGATAGTGGAATTGCTGTCCAGGAACAACCCAGTGTTTACAGGTTATGTCTTCTATGCTACAATACTTATCCTCAAACTGCTGGCCATGTCAGTTCTGACAGCACGTCAGAGAATGAGGAAGAAGGTACGTGACCCATGGTTATGTTCTAAGCTCATACTCAGATGGTACTGGTTGCTGTAACCTTGGGCATAAAATGATTTGAGATTTGGGCTTTCATCTACGTCTAATGCTAAGGTTAAGAATGCATGGAACTTTACATCTGCACTCTGTACACACAGAAAGCAAGTTTATGTTTTCTTTGAGGTAGGAACGAAATTTATAAATAATATTTACCCAATTTCACCATTAAAACATGGTGGGATAGGTTAGAATGGGCTAAGGACCAGTAGCATACAGATTCTGCCAAACTGTGAAGCATTACACTTGAACATATAATGTGAATACTAACATTTAGTACAAATTATAAACCAATACATATATAACTGTATAGTTGTTACACCTATTTACATAAATGTTTAATCATTTTCACTTGAAGTAAATTATTCTGTCTACTGGAAGTAGTGAGGTAAAAGATAATCTTTCATTGCTGGCTTAAATAGGTGATGATTTTAACTTTTAATGCTATCTGAAAGAGTGCTGAATAGCTTGATCCCTGCTTAGTCAGCACCTTTCTGATAACCAAAGAGATAACATCTTATTTATGCCATGTGTTTACACTGTGCATGTAAGTGAGAGTTAGTATTCACTCAAAAAGGGAAGTATATTACATTTATTAAATAGATCTCTGCAATAGATTATTCTTCTAACACATGCCGTTATTCTGATGATGTTTTTATTTTTTAAATACTATTTTAATGTCTGTTGAATTTCTCCAGAAGATACATGGCATAGTAGAATGGAAATAAACAAGTAAACTAATTTTAAAATATGTGTTTTCAAAAGTGGCTTAGTATCCCTAGCAGTGGAAAATAATATTTCACGTCCTAGTGATACATTCTACTTTGCAGGTGTTTGCCAACCCAGAGGACAGTGGCAGGTTAAAAGGGAAGGTGAAGTTTGATGATCCTGATGTCGAGAGAGTTAGAAGGTAATACTTGTTCAGTCCAAAAAGTAGTCCGTATTTCATTAATTATTGGCTGATCAAAAGACGCGGTGTTATTATGGAATTAGTCAAAAACTAGGTTTTACTTGATGACGAAATGTTGTCAGGAATTTTTATATAACATTTAGAAGAGATGAGGTTAACGTTTTCTGGCATCTTACGCGATGATTCTGCTCAAATTGTTGGTCTTCTGTGATACGCTCCTTTGCTGCACAGTTTGTATGGTCATTCTGAACTTAAAGTACATTTAGCGCACTCTCGTAGCCGCTGAATGAACTACGTGTTATATCCGTAACATGGGTTGAACTTCGTACATTGAAATTGATAACTCACACTTTTCTGTGTTAGCAGGATCACATGGGTCACGCAACTTACATTGTAGTATACTTAGATGTTTGCATCCTAGAAAAAATTCTTTCGCGAACTTAAACAGTATAATGAGAATCATCTTTATTAAAACGTACAACCACTCGCTTGAGAACATGGCTCTTGATTGCGGAAGAAGAAATGCGAGTTCAGGTAAAATTTTAATTTGTGTCTCCCTTTCACTTAGTAGAAACATAATGTGAATCGATAAGGATTTTTTTACGGTTTTCAATTAGCATAACAATACTGTGTTTCCAACCAAATTAATACAATGTCAATAGCTAACTATCTAATTAGATGGCTAACGGAACCCGAAGGTTCATCACCGAATTAACCAAAGCCCTCCACCGGACCAAAAATATCAATAGCTGAATTATAACTAAATTAAAACATGTATAGTTTTAAACGGTTGGAATCATTAGTTCGATTCCCATTTCAGGCCACTTAATGATGGGCTGACCTACACGTCATGAAGAACAGCCAAATGTGTAAAACGAAAAATGAAATAATTGAATATAGAAATAACACTGAATTGGAACAAGCTGAACGGCCTGATCTATAAAAAGCTGTAAGAGAAAGATATGGTATAAGTATTTAATTAATATTCAGCGATTATGGCCATATTGGCCAGGTTTAAGTAAGCATGAAAACCGTGAAGTCACGATGGTGTTGGTAATCCTGAATGTCGTGAAGGTCACGAGCGTGGATGCTGAGTCGGCGATTTAGATAAACATCCAGTAAGGATTCGAGAGAGTTGATTTGATCTGAAAGGACGGTCATGGCTACGATAGTGGAATTGCTGTCCAGGAACAACCCAGTGTTTACAGGTTATGTCTTCTATGCTACAATACTTATCCTCAAACTGCTGGCCATGTCAGTTCTGACAGCACGTCAGAGAATGAGGAAGAAGGTACGTGACCATGGTTATGTTCTAAGCTCATACTCAGATGGTACTGGTTGCTGTAACCTTGGGCATAAAATGATTTGAGATTTGGGCTTTCATCTACGTCTAATGCTAAGGTTAAGAATGCATGGAACTTTACATCTGCACTCTGTACACACAGAAAGCAAGTTTATGTTTTCTTTGAGGTAGGAACGAAATTTATAAATAATATTTACCCAATTTCACCATTAAAACATGGTGGGATAGGTTAGAATGGGCTAAGGACCAGTAGCATACAGATTCTGCCAAACTGTGAAGCATTACACTTGAACATATAATGTGAATACTAACATTTAGTACAAATTATAAACCAATACATATATAACTGTATAGTTGTTACACCTATTTACATAAATGTTTAATCATTTTCACTTGAAGTAAATTATTCTGTCTACTGCAAGTAGTGAGGTAAAAAATAATCTTTCATTGCTGGCTTAAATAGGTGATGATTTTAACTTTTAATGCTATCTGAAAGAGTGCTGAATAGCTTGATCCCTGCTTAGTCAGCACCTTTCTGATAACCAAAGAGATAACATCTTATTTATGCCATGTGTTTACACTGTGCATGTAAGTGAGAGTTAGTATTCACTCAAAAAGGGAAGTATATTACATTTATTAAATAGATCTCTGCAATAGATTATTCTTCTAACACATGCCGTTATTCTGATGATGTTTTTTTTTAAATACTATTTTAATGGCTGTTGAATTTCTCCAGAAGATACATGGCATAGTAGAATGGAAATAAACAAGTAAACTAATTTTAAAATATGTGTTTTCAAAAGTGGCTTAGTATCCCTAGCAGTGGAAAATAATATTTCACGTCCTAGTGATACATTCTACTTTGCAGGTGTTTGCCAACCCAGAGGACAGTGGCAGGTTAAAAGGGAAGGTGAAGTTTGATGATCCTGATGTCGAGAGAGTTAGAAGGTAATACTTGTTCAGTATGCATTAAATCATATTCTTTAATTAAAGGTAAGTAATGATTTTAAGTTTTATATGCAGCTTTGTTACACTTTTTATTTAGATTTTCCCATAATTTTTATGGATAATTTATTAGTTTTAATATATTAATAGTGAGCCATGTTGCCCAGACAGTAAAATTACAAAGTTCAGTCTCAAGCAGCAGGATTGGAATTGTATGCAGTGTTCACACAAAAAATAATCGATGCATAATTTTGACGTCTGGACATCTGTATGTTTCAACTCTGAAATGGACTTTTATGAAACTTTTTAATGAGTGTCTGTCCACATTAAATGTTGCTAC